CTTAGGACGTTCCGCGTGCAGCTACCGCAGGATCCCGCCGTTCTACTCCTAGGTGGTACCTGCAGGAAATGAATGTGCTTCCTTGAGAAGAACTGTGCACAGATGTCCAGAGCAGCTTTATTTGGGTAGCTCCCCTTGGAAACAGCTCGAATGTTCTTCACTGGGTGAATGGAAGCCAGTGGTGGTATTTTCCCACAGTGGAATTCTAAACAGAAAGGAACTGCTGATACGCTCAGCAGCATGGATACATCTTCAGTAAATACCAAGTAAGAGAAGCCAGACACAAAAGAATACTTGCGACGTGATTCCATTTGTATCGACTTCTGAAAGTCCCGGAGTCTATAGTGACCACAAGTGGGTGATTGTCGGGGGGCAGTGGCGGGTGCAGCGGGAGCAAGGACCGCGGGGGACCAAGAACTGCAGACTTCTGTGAGCTGCTGTGGGGCAGCTCCAGGTGTATACTGTCACACTGTAGACTTTAAGTTTGTGCAGCCTATTAACAATCAGTGATACCTTTAAAAGGCCACGGCGCCACATTACACACTCAAGGATAAATGGTGAGTCCGTCTACACTGCCGCACGGGGCCATCAGAGCTCTCACTGAGCGCCTGCTCCCCTGGCCCGGCCCCTCCTCCCACACAGCCCTGGGGCCTCTGCGCCCCTTTGACCTCAGGCGCCAGCCTCCTGGGTTGTGTCAATTATGCCGTGCCTGTCACCCAGTAGAAGCAGCCCCTGAAGCAGGACGTCTACACAGCCTGCATTCCACAGAGCCCCACTGGCCTAAAATCACACAGGGTCAGAATCTAATGTAAGGGGGGTTTATTCAAAGGTGGTTGGAGGCTGGCCCACCCGGAAACACCAACTCCAGAGGAATGGAGTCTGCCCTCGGAAGCAGGCAGGGGAAGGGTGCCCTCGGGCAGGCAGAGGCCGAGGGGCTTTTAGCGGGATCGCGGCGTCCTTCCTACGAGGTGGGCGCAGTCACAGCGTTTGACGGGTGACGGGCAGTGCCTGTTTCGGGGAAGGGTACATTTAACCCGTCAGAGGGTGCGGCAGTCACGGCTTCCCGTCTTCTGGTCTAAGCAGTGCAGAAAACAGGGGAAGTTCATCTACGAGGGTCATGAACCAAGAAGGCAGGAGGTTTCTGCCCCTGGCGTTGGTTAATTCTCTCCAGTCATTGTGCAGAACAAGGAAACAGCGCATTAGTCCCTGGCCTGAGAAAGGGGAGCTGCAAGTGCACGTCAGGGGTGCAGTCCCATCTCTCACGGGGCATGAGGCACGGTCCTGTCTCTCATGGGGCTTAATGTGCCCAGACTGTGTTCATGTTCACACCTGGGAGGAGGGGACGCGGGCATGGTCTGTGCGGCAGGTCCAGCCGATCCACAGGGCCTTGGATGAGGCGTCTCTGCAGCTGAGGCTGGCCCTGCCAGGACTGACCCCAAGGCTGTGGCTAAATTGGGCTCCCAGCGCTGGCCCTGTGTCCTCTGTAAGGGGATCTGCACCCCAGATCTACGCACGGACTGTCCCCACCTCTAGGCCCCACGCTCAGCCCCCTTCAGCCTGTGTGTCCTCAGGGCACCTTCACTCCATCATAGTGACCGTCTCCACTGTGGGTGCCGAGACCCTGTCTGCTTCCGTAGCTATGCGTCAGGGCCACTGTGTGAGCTGGAAGTCGGTGCAGGGAACTCTGGAGAAGGGAAGGAGTTCTGGGGAGGGGAGCGATTACTAACAGGGAAGCCCCAGGAGGAGGGACCACCATGGAGCGAGGACTGAGCACGGGAAGGAGGGTGTTCTAGGCCCGGGCAGGGCGGGAGTCTCGGGGGAGGAGAAGTGCCGGGGGCTTTTACCCTCAGGGCCTGTGGCAGTTGGAGGGTGGTAGATGAGGCCTTAGACTAAACTCTGAGAGAATGGGACCGTGGAGAGTTGTCTTGAGGAGGGAGGGGGCTCTGTGTTGCTTTTTGGAGGCGTCCCTGGCACCTGTGACAGCAGGGGCTGGAGGGTGGGGCAGGACTTGGGGGCAGTGAGGGTGGAAGAGGGGGCAGAAAAGCTCAGATTGTGCCTCGCATGGCGGGTGGGGGCTGCTGGGTTTGTTAATGTATGCGATGGGGTAGGTCAGGAGTCGTGCTGGTCACATATGTCAAATGTGGGCGTCTGAAATCCCTGTGGCCACAGCTCTAGGCTCATCCCCTGGGATCTGGGTGCAGAGTGTGTTCTGGCCTGAGACACATCTGGGAGTGTGGTCCACAGACCCCCTGGGCAAGTGCAGACAGTAGGGAGGAGGTGGGGACCCCGGGGGCAGATGCGTGGCAGGGGGAGGCAGGTGAGGGCCCCGGGTATAGATAGGAAGGGAGGCAGGTGAGGACCCCGGGTATAGACAGGAAGGGAGGCAGGTGAGGGCCCCGGGTGCAGACGGGGACGGGGATGAGGCGGTTGGGGGCCCAGGCCCTCACGGGATGACTGTGCCTGTCTCTTCTTCCCCTCCCATTGCATGGGCTAAAATGTGCTAAATCTCCAGCACTGGACGGGACAGAGGGAGGGACCTGGATGGACCAGAGCTCTGCCTGTTTCTGGAACACAGTGTGGGGAGGGGTGGACAAGCCTCAGAACGGGCTCCATTCCGAGGAACGGCCAGTCGCATGGGGCCTTGGATGCCCATGGTCAGAGCGTGGGCTGCTGCAGGCTCCACCTCAGCCCTTCATTTCCTGGTAGCCACCAAACTGCCCCATGTACTCTGGGCAGATGGCCAGTGTTAGCTGGGAAGGACAGCAGCAGCCGCAGAGGTGGCAGCAAGGCCAGGGCACTTTGCAGATGGCATGGACAGGCAGGTGCCCAGGGACAGCCAGAGAGCAGCGGACACCTCGTTCACCCTGGCCTTCCAAGTGGTCTGCAACTCTGGGAGCTGCTAACTGGAGCAGGGTAGGTCCCCTGGGGTCCTGGGCACTGAGTCCCAGGTGACCTGCACTGCACAGGACGGCCCCTCACTCACGCTGCCCTTGCAATGAAGAGAGGCACTGGCTGCAGCTCGCTGGCCTGTGTGACTGATAGAGGCTGACAGCCTGGAGCCCCAAGCACCCCTGGCAGGAGCTGACCCACTTTCCCTTCCCTCGGCTGGAAACCTTGACATAACAGATGGCTGCAGGGCCCTGCTGTCCCTCTGATAGGGAGGAGAGTTTTTAATTAAAAAGGAGGCACGGAGCTCCAGAGCGGCCACACCGAGATCCAGTCCATGTGTGCTGGTCCGTCGGTACCCACAGGTGAAAGGCTGCAGCCGGGCTTATCTCAGGGTGCCCGTGTGCGCACAGAGGTGCTCATTGGGCCACGCCATGCATTGGAACTGATACTCTTCTCTCCTTTCTGAGACCTTTCTACACGAACGCACTACTTACAATGAGTCACCGAAGCAATGGCATGAGCTGTGCTGTCCAGCAGAGCTGTCCGTGGTGCCAGAAACGGCTTCTCTGCTTTTCCCCTGGCAGCCGCCGCTGCCCACACAGACTGTTTGGCACTTTAAATGTGCTTGTGGATGTTTAGTTTTAAACTGAAAAAGCCACATGTGGCCGATGTGCTACACAGTGAAGCGAGAGCATTCGTATGCAAGGATGATCTTCAGAACCCTTTGTGCTACGTGAAGTCCTCGTTAAATGCAACGTGAAAATCCTTGTCCTTCAAAGTGTCATTTTATTACAAATAATAATGTAATAAAATTATAAATTAATACAAATAATATTACAGATAACAATTTGTAATAAAATTATAGTAATTTTGTGATAGTCTGAGTGTGTTGATGAAGTGACCTATACATGCGTTTTTAAGCACAGTAAGCATGAGTGTAGACAGCGTAAGCACAGGTGTAGACAGCGTCAGCGCGGGTATAGACAGCGTGTCACTTTGTCAGTGCAGAGGTGCATCCGTGGCTGTGGCTCCACCCTGACACCTGTGGCTGCTGTTCGCAGATCCTCCTTACACACCACACAGGCAGTTGGAATGGGCTTTGCCTCTGTGTTGTCTTTGTGTTTTTCTTTTAGCATATTTTTAACAGAACTATTTTATTGAGAAAAAAGCCCTTTGTCCCATCTTTTAACCCATAGCTGCTTCTTCTGTGTGAACCGGTTGAATCAAAGGGCAGTGTCCAGGCAGCTCGATTATGGTGGGGGGTGCGGCTTCACAGGGTTCTGTGCCTGGTGGATTTTGCGAGGCAGCCCCCCTGGGTGAGGTGTTGCCCTTCAGGGAAGGACTCGGTGTGGAACTGACTCTGCAGAGCCCAGTTCCTCGGAGCAGGGTCCCCACCGTGCCGCACGAAGTCGCCCTGACCGTCGCACGAGCTCCTCACCTTCACTACTATCATTCTTTGCTGGTCAATCATAAAATGAGGCCTTAATTTTGCCCAGTGGGCTCCGTCAGTTCACTGAACGACAGTGCACAGCAGTGACACGATGACTGCAGACAGCGCTGTGTGCGTGGAAGGCACTTGCCGAGAACTGCCAGGGACACCAGCTGTTTGGCAGCTTAGTTGACAGAGACTAAGTCACATGAGAGCATGAGGGGATGAGGATGGCAGGCTCGGGATGTGAAGGGCCGGCTCCCACACCCTGGCGAAGGGACTCCGGCACCCCGCAACCGTGTGTTGAGGCCACAGCAGAAGCAAGGGGGCAGAGCTGCAGGGCGCTGGGCCTATGAGCTGCGAGTCCCCAGGGCCTCACAGGGGTAGCTCCTGCCAGTCTCTGGCTGCTGAGAGAGGTGCTCCTATGAGCCTGGGCAGATGCAGACCTTGGCCAGGAGCTGCGGTGGCCTGCCCAGTGTCAGGAGGGAGGTAGCCGTGGGGCCTCCCTGGAGACCTCTCCCAAGGCCCTCCCCTGAACTCCTGCGTACCCTGTGCCAAGCATGTGAGGCCTGGTCAGCACATGGCGGGTGGGCAACCCCTTCCCACTGCCACCCAGGAGGCCCCTGGATGTGCATGGGCCATGAGACTCTTCTCTAGCAGCAGCTGTGCCTTCTCTCTCCAGGTGACGCCTTCTGGGCCCCATCTGTCCTTCCTCACAGCACCCTCAGCGCCTTAAGCCACCACCCCCAGCCACAATTTGGCAGAAGGATGGAGTCCAAGGTCTCAGAAGGTGGCCTGAACGTGACCCTTACCATCCGCCTGCTGATGCATGGAAAGGTAAGAGGAGCCACCATTGGCACTGTAGGAAAGGCGGCCGCAGCAGACAGAACCTGATACTGCCTGGGTCTTTGGATCATTTTTTAATCTTATTTTAAGCAATCTCAAACTTACAAAGCAGTTATAGGTACAGCCCCTTTGAGACTCAGTGCCAACCTGATACCTCCTGCGTGTTTCCTACCAACAGGGACCTTCTCCAGCACAGCCACACACAGCCATCCGTGTCAGGGCACCCACACGGATGCATTCCTACCACTGGCTTCCTTCATAGCGGCCGCACGGCATCCCCTGGTGCCGTCTCGAGTCCCTTCCACCTGGGGTAGATGGTTGGCTTTGACGCTGCAGTTGACACTTTGCAGTGTGTGCGGAGTACCTGTGCCTTGGTCTAGGTCTCCTGGCCGTTGGCAGGAACACAGCAGCAGCTCTGCCCTGGGGTGTGCCTGTTGACCCCTCGCAGGAAACTCCTCAGACTTTCAGAGCATGTTTCTATCCTCTGGGAGTCGGGTTGCTATGTTCTTCCCCGGCTCATCCTTCCGTGACCACGTGATTTGCTCCGATGCCCTCGCTGCCCTGCTTTGGCCAGAACCCCAAGGCCTGACGAGTCCCTGTTCCTACAGCCCCATCCTGCTCTCTGCTCATCTTGTCCTCCTTGTCCCAGGCCTGGAACCAGCCCCTCCCTCAGTAGCTCCTGTATGTGGTGGCATGTTCTGGAAGCCAGGGCGCGTGATGCTCCTGGGCTGCTGTGGGTCCCGGGCTGCACCTCCGCAGAGCACTTCCTTCCATGTTCAACTCCCTATATGGAACCCCAGTTCCAGCCCCACAGCACAGGGTCCCCCAGTTCTTCCTGCCTCAGGTGTGCACCACGAGGAATCCAGCTGCCAGTATCTGTGTGTGGCCTCCCTCCAGGAGGAGGCTGGCGGAGGCTCTGGGCTCTAGCCCCACAGCACTGGCACATCCTAGGTTTCCAGAAGACAGCCTCCTCCTGAGGGAAGGTGGTGGTGCCCACACCCAGAGCGTTCACTCCTGCAGTGGAGACAGACGGACCTGCCTCTCCGACTGTGGGTGTCAGGAGCCAAGGCCCCACAGTAGATGAGGCTCTGTGAGGCCAGGTGCACAGCCCTATCTCCAGCAGCAGTGGCCATGCCACCCAGCTGCACTCTGTGGGGGAGGTGCCCTGGTTGACAGGGGCCCCTCCTTGTGTCCAGTGTCCCTCTGCCTCCATGGACCCCTCTGCACGCCATCCTCACGGCCTCCCTCTGCCTCCGTGGGCCCCTCTGCGCGCCGTCCTCACGGCCTCCCTCTCCCTCCACAGACCCCTCTGCGCACCATCCTCACAGCCTCCCTCTCCCTCCACAGACCCCTCTGCGCACCGTCCTCACGGCCTCCCTCTCCCTCCACAGACCCCTCTGCGCACCGTCCTCACGGCCTCCCTCTCCCTCCACAGACCCCTCTGCGCACCATCCTCACAGCCTCCCTCTCCCTCCACAGACCCCTCTGCGCACCGTCCTCACGGCCTCCCTCTCCCTCCACAGACCCCTCTGCGCACCGTCCTCACGGCCTCCCTCTCCCTCCACAGACCCCTCTGCGCACCGTCCTCACGGCCTCCCTCTGCCTCCATGGGCCCCTCTGCACGCCGTCCTCACAGCCTCACAGAGTCACCATTGCTGGCCCTGCTTCAGGTGACAGGCCACAGTAGCACCTGTCAGCTCCGTCCCACTGCTGGACAGGGAGATACTGGGCCACTCAGCCCAGCAGGGAGTGTGTCCCAAAACCACCTCGGGCTCACCGTCAGAACTATGGCAGCATCTTCCAGCATTCCTTTTAACAGGCTGCCTTTTAAATAGCAGTCATGGAGCACTAGCAGTGCTAAGTTTTATTTGAGTCACACAATTGAAGGAGGCTTTATTTTTCACGCATTTCTTCCAGGGTTTCCTGGCAGCCTGAGTGCGTAGGTGATGCCCCCTGAGTTATTTATCGGGGGCAGGCAGCTGCCCTCCCCCGGGGCACTTCGAGTCAGCCCATCTCTGGCCTGGTCAGGTGGGTGCCAAGGAAGCCCCGGCTCGGGGCCTCTGTATGGGCAGCCTGGCTTGTACACACACCCACCCCGCCCCCACCACCGGCAGATTCTGAACTCTCCTCCTTCACTCACACAGGGAGGTAGGCAGGTTTCGGCAATGTCTGCCTGCGGTGTTTCCCTCCTCCTGCTCTATGACATCATCTTTCTGTGATTTTTTCCCTGCAGGAAGTTGGAAGCATCATTGGGAAGGTAATTATTGATTGAATCTCTGCCTGTCTTGGGGCCTCTGTAAGGGGATGGTGAGGATGGCAGCCTCCTTGGGTGCTAGGTGGCACCCAGCAGGTGCGCCTTTCCCAGTAGGTGGGTGGTCTGTGTTCCATGAAGTCAGGACCCCAGAGGTGTCACCTTTATGCTGCGTGACATTGAAGCTGGTCCCTGGCTCTGTGCAGATTGAGGGGAAAGGGTTCTCCCCAGCTGGTCGTCTCGCTGCCCCCTGCCCGTGGCCTTAGTGGCCAGCCCTTCTTTCCCAGTTGAAGACCCCACAAAGAATGATTTCTCACGCGTTCTTCAGACGGCTGTGTAGTCTGGGTGGTCTCCAGGAGTGCCGGTGGAGGCAGCAGCCCCCAGACACTTCCTTTCCAAATCAGGGCTGGCCCAGGGGAAATAAGGCCCAGTTTGGAAGTCTGCTGCCCCGGGAGGCTGAGCAGTGAGGGCCACCTCCCCGTCTTTGTCACATTTTCACCACCTCCGGGGGTCCTGTGTCCTTCCCCTCAGTCTCACCATGGGGGCGCCTCTAGTAGGTCATTGTCCCAGCTTCCTCCCAAGCGCTTGAGAGGGTGCGTCTCCGAGAGTCACCACCTCCGGGAGGGCAAGCCAGAGCGCAGCCGGCCGTGGGGGGCGCCTGAGGGCACAGACACTGCCACGTGCCACGAGTGAGCTGCCGTGGGGAGTCAGGTCAGACCTGCACCACCCTTGCCAGCTGTGTGCCCGTAGGTGGGTGCACTTGCCTTCCTGGGCCTCAGTTTCCCATCCGAAATGTCCTCCAGGGCGTGGTGGGCATGAAGCCTGGCCTTAGTGGAGAGGCTGGTTTGCTTCTCCAGCGCAGGTGGGAGGATCTGCGGTGTGGGCACATGGGCCAGGCCGCTCCCCACCCACCCTGGCCGCATTGTCCTCAGTGCCAAAGGGACACCTTTTCCTTATTGTCTAAATCTTTATTCCAGAAAGGAGAAACTGTGAAGAAGATGCGTGAGGAGGTGAGTGTGGTGGGTCCTGACCTGTCTGCAGCCATTCCCGGGTGAGCAGGGAGGGTCCCCAGGCTCTGCCCCTGCTGACATCCTGCCTGTGCTCTCGGCCGGGGCCTGTGGGGAGTGCAGTGCAGGGCCTCTTTCCCCCTACTCGGGCCTCCTGTGCTTCCCTGTGGGGAAGGAATCCATTGAATTCCTTTTGCTAATTAAAATTTCCTTGTAAAGGAGATTGTTGAGAAGCATTTTACTGTTCATTCGTGGTTTGCCAGTCAGCGGACAGAGGCATGTGTTTGTGTCAATTGTCAACGGACTTTGGCCCCCGGCCCACTGGCCCAAGGGTTTCTCTGCTCTCACTCTAGAGTGGTGCGAGGATCAACATCTCAGAGGGAAACTGCCCAGAGAGGATTGTGACCATCACAGGCCCCACAGACGCCATCTTCAAGGCCTTTGCCATGATCGCATACAAGTTTGAGGAGGTAACCTGCATCCCGGGGAACCTTGGCCAGCCTGGCGGGGGCGGGCATGGTCCCAGCTGGCTCCCTGGGCCTTCTCCCTTGTACCTGGACTAGGGGATGCCCCAGCCCGCCCAGGCAGCCCCATAACCACACTCACCTCCTTTACCTCCCAGGGCCTCTCCCCAGCTCTGGTTCACCCAGTCAGGGGCCAGTGTCCCTCTGTCCTTCTGAAGTCAGCTACTCCCGGCTATGTGCCTTAAGTCCACCTCCCTCAGCTTCCCCAGACCCTGCCCTGGGGCACCTAGCATGGCCTCAGAACACCCCACCCTTCCCCCCGGGGCATGCAGCCTGGCTGACCCTCAGGCCCCACCAGCACCTCCAGCCTCCAGCCAGCTCTGCCACATGGCTCATGATGAAGCCCTGGCTGGCACAGCCCTGGTCCTCAGCCACACAGCACCATGCCTCTGGGCCCCCCATGAGAGCTGATGTAGCCTGGCTTAGATATGGATGGTAAAGGTAGAGACCATCCATGTTGGTGGTTATGAGACAGAGAGAGACAGAGACAGAGAGAGAGAAACAGAGGGAGAGAGGCAGAGGGAGACACACAGAGAGAGAGAGAGAAACAGAGACAAGAGAGACAGAGAGACAGACAGAGAGAGACAGAGAGCGAGGGGGAGAGAGAAAGAAAGAGCAGCACTTCTGTGTATTCTGTCATTGAGTGAAATTGTAATGTCTTCTATGTGTTTCTAATTTTCTTGAAATTGCTGGAAGTTAGAGATGCATTTAGTGTCTTTGAGGGGTGACCATTAAGTAATGAGGTGCACTTTGTGGGAATAAGCGAAGAGCCCTCCAAGGGAGAATGGGCAGAGGCTCTTTAGTATTCAAAGCTGGCCATGGTGGTGGTCGGTGCCATCTTCTGTGCTTGGCAGAGACTCAAAGTCAGGCAGGAGGGGGAACTTTGGTGTGGGAGAGGAGAGGAGGGATGTGCCCTGGGGGAGGCAGTGGGGCTAGAAGTGGGGCATCCCATGTGACTGGTTGGGGGAGCGTGCGAGGCCTTTTCCGGTGGGTCCTGAGTTGGAACTGGGGACGCACATGAGGGAAGCTGACTGCTCAGGGCCGAGTGCAGCAGAGGCTGTGGCCTGGCCTCCAGGGCTGGACGCTGCAGACACTGGGGCCAGTGTTTCCCTATCATAGGTGGCCTGGCCACTGTCTGGAGGTTGTTTCTTAGTTTCCCCTTTTAGCTACTCTTTCATTTGCAAGAGGATAGCCAGTTCAGGAAAGGCTAGAGAGCCAGGTCACGCTGCTTGGGGATGGTTCAGTTGCCTTTTTGGTCAGCTGTGCTGCGGGGTCCTCGGGATCTTTCTGTTGCTGAGTCATCCTGGCCATTGCCTGACGGGAGACTGATGGAATGCAGCAGACCAGCATCGTGACACCAAGACAGAAACAAGAACAACCGAGTCCCTGGACAGTGGTGAGACCAAGAGCGCTGTTACCCAACCCAAGGCAAGAGGACACATCCCATAGCCATGAGGGCCAGCCTCGGAGAGCCTCGTGGCCGCTCCTTAGGGTGCTGGGCAGCCCGCTCCTGGGACCTTCGCTCTACAGGTGGCATGTGCAGTGGCACAGACGCCAGCATGGCTGGCCAGCAAGAAACCTGCAGAAAAGCAATTACCCACCGCTGCTTATGCCAACACATCTTCCACCCAGGGCAGGCGGTGTCCCGAATAACTTCTGCCGGAGTTGGCGATGCGTTTCTGACCGCAGTTTCTGCCTGTGTGATTCCCACTGTGGCAGACACTCAGTCATCCCTCCCACAGGGCACACACATAATCACAGGTGGCCTGGTTTTGGAACTTAAGTTTGAGTCAGAATTTCCAGCTGTGGAGATTATAGAATTAGGGTCTCTATGTACAAAGAAGTCTCAGGATACCTTTCCTAAGGTGTGTGAGTTATTCATCTGAGGCCAGCAGGGCCTGGTGACTGGCCCCAAGGAAGCAGTGTCTGGTGGAGGCATATGGAGACCGGGGAAGGGCTGTGGCTCAGGCCAAGAGGTTAGAACCGAGGCCTGTGCCCTCCAGCTTCAGTTGGGACCTGTTTTTGTTTCTCCCTCGTGGCCAGTGTTTAACGGCTGGTTGCCCTATGCAGGTCGCTGAATTTAAGTTTCAAATGACCTGGGGACTGATCAGTAAACTTTAATAATTGGTTGCTTTTCTAGGAGAAAGGGATGCTAGCAAAGTCACAGGTGATTTGTTTAGAGTCAGTTGTCCATGTAGATGCAAGCGGAAAGCATCAGCTGTCATCCCCCAGGGTCCCATTTGATGAAATTGGCATTTCTCGAGATTTTCCTCCCTGGGGCCTGGTGGTGGGCGGTGTTTCCAGTAGTCAGTGAGAGTGAGGGCAGTGGTTACTGTTTGGGATAATCAAGAATGGCATTAGAATGAATATGTGTTAAGCTAACAATTATCATAAAGTGAAAAGAAAATAGAAAAGGGACCGTCACCAGAGGTGGATGACAAGCAGGGGCCCGTGGAGAATGAGAGGGAGAGTGATTAAATGTAAGCAGATGAAAAAGGAAACAAATCAGACAGAGGTCTTGTCAGGACACCTGAGCAGAAACAGGCCTTTGTCCAAGGTCTTCAGCTTGCAGGAAGGTCTCAGATCAGCCACCTGTTTCTGAAGAATGGCTGCCTCTAGAGGATCTCAGAGAACCTCAGTTTGAGATCCTGTATGGGAGTCATTTTCTGGTTGTGTGGAATTCTGAATCGCCACTTTGGCTGTGAAATGTGAACCCAAGGACTGATTCCTTGGAGTTTCACTGCTGGGTTTGTTAGCAGTACCTGGTAAGGCCCCTTCCAATGAGGTTAGAGAAACATTTTCTCTGATGTCCCTTCCAATAGACAAAATCTCCTGGTTGAAGAACCTAAGGAGGATGTTTGGGAAGATGTCGTGGGAAGCAGCCGTAACCTACGCGATTACGTAGGTTACGTAGGGCTGTGCTGAGTCCTCTGCAGTCATTTGCCATCTCTGCCTGCAGCAGGACAGAATCGAGTATCAGGAATCCCTAAAGGTACGAGCCCTCCAGTCATCAGTCCATGGAGGGAGAGCTGAGGTGTCTCCAAGCGAGCAGACTGTATGGCCAAGAAAGCTCGAAGGATTCGGAGTTTTCATCTTCGGGTCCTTCGATTTTTCCAGAAGACTGTGGATGGTCAGGACAGTGTTGTTCTTGAGTAAAGGGTAACCACTCACAGAGTTCTGTTGTAATGGTTTGTGTAAAATGTATTTCTCAATCACTTCATGTAAAAGTTGGTATGCTTCAGCTTGGAAATACAAAATCAAGGAATTTTTTTTAGCAACTTTAAGGACCATAGCTTTTAAACAAGGAAATGCTTCAACCCATCCTGAAAACAGACACACAACAATGAAAGCATTTCCAGTCCCAGGTGGACGCTGGTTAAAATCTACCTGAAGGTGTTCAGAGGGCCCTTGAGGCGTCACTCTGGGGCGTCGTCTCACCCTCACACCATGTCGGATTGTGCTGTTGACAGATACCTGGCCTTCAAAGAACCTCAGCAGTCTTTGTAAAGCTTCCACCAGTGCTGATTGGAGTTATTCATCAATTTGTCTACGGCATGATGAGTAGTGTCATGGATTGACTTAGCTAATACCCATTTGAAATCATCTGGTACCAAAGCCAGCTGTCTTGAGGGCACCAGAAAAGATTGAGTAAAGGGTACAACCAGAATTTTCAGAATTTGTCCATTCTTCCTTTTCAAAATCAGGGGCGAAGTGTTGAAATCTTACAATGGCCTCTGCTTGCCTCCAGAGATCCAGCCTTCAAGGCTTAGCTGGAGTCAGCCATGGCTAAAGCACTGGTTGGCCAGAATGACCCCCCAGAGCACCTTCCCCAACGTCCGCATCTCCATCTGCACTGGCCTCACGTCTGCAGTCACCACCTCTCTAAGAAGAAGTGTGCCTGAGAACTCAGCACACGGCCCATGTTGGGTGGGCTTCCAGCAGAGCTAAAAGCCCCTCTGTTTCCAGAGCATCCACCGCCACGGGCCCTTGGCTAGTTGACAAGCACCGGCAAGTGTGATGAGTTCTGCATCTGGCAGACTTTCCCCATCACAGGGGACTGTGCCAAAGGAGAGCCAGGTTAGCAGCAGCACACTGTCCTAGCCTGCTTGGGCTGCCATTGCAAAATGCCACAGCTGGGCGGCTTACACAGCAGACGCTGGTTCTCTCACAGTCCAGGAGGCTGGAAGTCTCAGATCAAGGTGCCATCAGGGCCGGTTCCTCTGAGGCCTCTTTCTTTGACTTGAAGATGCCACCTTCTTCCTGGGTCCTCACAGGGTCACCCCTCTGTGTGTGTCAGTATCCTCGTCCCTTCTTCTTACAAGGACATGAGTCAGATTACATTAGGTTCTACTGTAGGCACCCCATTTTACCTTAGTTACCTCTGTAAAGCCCCATCTCTAAACACAGTCACACAGAGGATCAGGGTTTCAGTGGATGAACTTGGTCCGGTTCTGTAGCACAGGCCCTGCCTGATCACCTCCAGCTTCACTTGTGAAGTAGAACATTAGGCTGGGGTTCTCAGCAGGAGTCTGCTAAGGCTGCAGGTGGATAGGGTCCCTCCACAGGCTTCCTTGTCTTGAACAAAGGAGGGCGTCACCAGGACTGAACTGAATTGCTAGGGAGATTTAGGTCTTCTAGGTCTTAATGAGCACCTGGAAAAAGCAGGAGAGGGCTTCAGTGACCCCCAGGGCGTGACTGTCCAGGTTAATCATTGTCCTTCCCAGTGAGGGCAAAACATGCTCACTCTCCTGGTCTAGCGGCAGCCCTGGAGGGACAGCGTGAACACCTGCCACCACGAAGCAAGTGGCTTTGGGAAGAATGGACAGCGAAGTTGTGTTTCGGTTCAGTACACCTAGGAAGTAAGGGAGAATAATTTTGTTGGTGGCCCTGAGGTCTTCAGCAGATCAGTATCTCTGTCTGTTTGGTATCAGTAGTTTGAGCCCTTCTTTTGGATTTGGGGTCACGGGATTGTGGAGAATTTCGGGTCATGTTTTGGTGGAACCTCTCGGAGCCTTTGGAGGCTCCGCCCCAGTCATTTTGCCTGTGTTAGTGGGATTGTGTCAGGTGCAGCGTCAAGACCCTTGTCTGGAGTCTGCACCCACCTCATGACGCAGGGGTCTGCCCAGAGCCCACACAGCTTGCCAGTGGGCTGAGTTCTCCAGGAGCTCAGGAAACAGTGTCTCTGATGTGCATTTAAGATGCCATTCCATTTTCAAGCAAAGTCTCTGCCTACTAAATTTTCAGGGGTGGAGTCCCAGAGCAGGAATGAATGTTTTCCAGTCAAGGGCCCAAGGGTTAGAGTTCAGGGCTGGGAAATAGGGAGAGAAAACACGGCGGGTTATTTGAAACGCCTTCCAGGGTGTGGTGTATCTAAACTGAGGAGGAGGATGACATGAGACCTTTCTACAGGTCGGATGTAAGAACAGTCGCCATAGCCACCAGGAGGATGAGGAAGACCACCTGCGTCCAGCATTAGTCACTCTGAGGGCTGAAGGCCAGGTGGGATGCCGGCCACCCGTTCCTTCGTCGGGCTCCCTCACTGCCTGGACCCAGGATCTTTCTGTGTCTCAGTTGTTATTTATGGGGATGGGATCATCTTTTCTTTGACGTCCATTCTGAATGCAGCAGCTATAATGAGCGTCCTTGTCCGGCGCTGGGGCTGGTGAGGGGCGCCTAGCTCTCTGACCTGCAGGAATCCTGGCTCATTTTTGTTCCAGAGCTTTTTCAGTGTGTTCTGCCAGTGGCTGTCATTCAGCAGAAGGGCTATTCCCATCCCCATTTCTGTTTTCGCGTGGGGCTTCACTCCACTGACCTCATGGGGCGACAGGGCTGCCCTTATGCCAGCACTGACCTCATGGGACGACAGGGCTGCCCTCACGCCAGCGCTGACCTCATGGGGCGACAGGGCTGCCCTCACGCCACCGCTGACCTCATGGGGCGACAGGGCTGCCCTCAAGCCAGCGCTGACCTCATGGGGCGACAGGGCTGCCCTCAAGCCAGCGCTGACCTCATGGGGCAACAGGGCTGCCCTCAAGCCAGCGCTGACCTCATGGGGCGACAGGGCTGCCCTCATGCCAGCGCTGACCTCATGGGGCAACAGGGCTGCCCTCACGCCAGCGCTGACCTCATGGGGCGACAGGGCTGCCCTCACGCCAGCGCTGACCTCATGGGGCGACAGGGCTGCCCTCACGCCAGCCTTGAAGGATAGAGACAGTCGGGGTTGTCAGAAGGGACTTTCTGTCTGTCCCCCAATCTCCAGTCGTTTCATCTTACAGCTGTGTTTGTGATTGTTCTAATCAGTTCCTACTGGGGATGTTTTAGGAGTGGCATTTAGGACTTTGCTGTGGGACCTTTTTTGATCCTCGGGTTTATTTGTTGACAGAGTTCGGGTAACTCTGGGTCGTGTGCAACCAAAATAATTCTAAATTCTTCTGTTGGTCATTGCAGGTCTGGTCTGGGTGTAGGGAATCCATAAGTATAGCTCTGAATTCAGCTGCAATCCAAGGGTTAGCTTCTGGAGTTGCCTATTCACCTGGCTTTTGGGGGGTTGGGTTTTTACAGACAGCTGGCATTTGGGGGTTTTAGGAGGGCTGGAAAAGATAGAGGTGGAGTCGATGGAGGAACTGGAAGGGAAGGACAGGGCAGGGGGAGTGCTGGGCAGGGGCAGTGGGAGGAAAAGGAGGGGAGAGCTTATGAGCCTGGGGGTCTGGTTTGTTGCTGATGTCTGCCAGGTTGCTGACTAGCTTTAGCCAAAGAATGTTTAGTGAAGCTATTTTTAAATCAGAACTTCATTTGGAGGCCTCTTCATACCAGTCAAAAAACGCTGCCCATTGGGCCTGAAAAAATCTTATTATCTTTCTTTTTTAAGGTGCCTCTCAATGAACAATTTTGTTAAAGTCAAATGTTCCCCAGGGCAGCCACTGAGGCCCAATCATCCTTGGGGAATTGAAACCACTGGAGAAACAGGCACCCGAGTCCGGGTTGCAATGAGTCCATTCAAGAGTTTTCCTGGGAGAGGAGGGGATGGAGACATGGCCCCATGAGAGCGGGTGGCAGGAAGTGGGAATTCAGTGCCCGTGCCTGTGCCTCAGGTCCCCAGCCTTGACACACAGAGGCTCTCCCCAGCCCCAGCAGGTACAACACCGGAGAGAATGCTCTGGGTTCAAAGTCAAGCTCCAGCACAAAAATAGACAAACGGGAACACACATCCACTTTTCTTGGTAGTCTGTAGCAGTTTGTCCAGGCACACACTGACCCAGGCCTTGTTTCTTTTTTTTTTTTTTTTTTTTTTTTTTTGAGACGGAGTCTCGCTCTGTCGCCCAAGCTGGAGTGCAGTGGCGCGATCCTGGCTCACTGCAAGCTCCGCGCCTCCTGGGTTCACATGCCATTCTTCTACTGCCTCAAGCCTCCCGAATAGCTGGAACTACAGGCGCCCGCCACCGCGCCCAGCTCATTTTTTGTATTTTTAGTAGAGACGGGGTTTCACCATGGTCTCGATCTCCTGACCTTGTGATCCGCCCGCCTCGGCCTCCCAAAGTGCTGGGATTTCTAAGAGGGCACTTTTTGTGGAGACCAAATTGTGTTGCCCTGAATCATAGCTCAGGCATGATGGACCCAGAGCTGGGGGGTATCCTGGGGGAGCCTCTGTGTCACTGCCTCTGCCAAGCTCTTTACCGCGCTCTGCAGCGAGCTCCAGGCCACAGCCTGGACACTTCCCATGCAGCTGATGGAAGCCCTGTCCCCCATGGGTTACCAGCCTGAACCCAAAGCCCAGCTCCGTCTCCTGGGTGTCAGGACCATGAGCCAAACACCAGCTGCCCAGGAGGGTGGGCACTGGCTCACCCCCACCTCAGCCTTTGCTGCCCCCTCACACTTCTACGTTAACCACACGTCTCCTTCCCCAGACCAGACCCCAGGAGCCATTCTCTGCCCCCGTGCCCTCGACACCTAGTTGTGGCCTGTCCCTGGCAGCGCTGCTTCACCTGGCCCTGGGCATCTACCCAGCCCTGCTAGTCTCCAGCCTCCATTCTCCCCTCCCCTTAGGCCAGTGTCTACACTTCCTGTGTCAGCCTGTCTATCCACACCCCCTGCCCACCAGGTCTCCACGACCAAGGCCAGACCTGCCCCAACCCCACTATGGCACAGTGACCATCCTGCCTTGCCGTCTGTGTGCCGTGTTGGGCCTGCACGTCCATCTCAGCAGCATCTCCTGGTCCTCCCTGGCCTGGCCTGGCCACTGTGTCCTCGGCTGTGCATGGGAGGGGCTCTGTGGGCTTCTGAGCGTGGGAAGTCAGGACGCACCCCCTGCACTCCTCCTGCTTTCTCACTGTGTGAGGCCTGATGTGCTGCCAACACACGTGTCTCTCCCCTAGGATATCATCAACTCCATGAGCAACAGCCCTGCCACCAGCAAGCCCCCAGTGACGCTGAGGCTGGTGGTGCCTGCCAGCCAGTGCGGGTCCCTGATCGGCAAAGGAGGCTCCAAGATCAAGGAGATCAGGGAGGTAACAGGACCTTCCCAGCCTGGGCTGCTGTGGAGCCTCTAGGCAGGCTGCGGGTGGTGGCCACAGGCCAGGCAGCCTTCCTGAGCCTCATCCCTGCAGTCTATAAGCCCAGTGCTGGCCATGCAGACCTCACAGCTCCAAGTCCGAAACAGGAACACAGGACCCATGAGCAAGTGCAAGTGTGCTGCAGGGACCCGGCCCCACCACAGCCCTCCCACCCACAGCCCCCCCCCACCCACTGCCCACCTATGGACCCCCCCCACTGCCCACCTATGGACCCCCCACCCACTGCTCACCTATGGATCCTGCCTACCAACTGCACACCTATGGGCCATGCTGGGGACAGGGAGGAACTAGCTGGTCTCATGGCTCTGGGCAAGGGAGGCTCTGGGCACTGGGCACTGTATCTGCTCCCTGTGAGGGGCCTCCATGGCACCTGGAGACAGCCCTGAGCCATCGGCCTGTCCCAATGGGCGGAGTTTGCAGGTGTGAACTTCACATTCACACAATTGTCCCGTTTCAAGGAAAGCCTGAATCCTTTCCCTACGCAGCAGGGCAGCCGCCCCAATCTTCATTTCCTTTCCCAAGACCAGAGTCCACCTTTCTCTGTGACCTAAAACTCCACAGAGAGAGAATTCCATCTATTTGAAAGGAGTCATTTGTCTCCCTGAAAACGCGTCTGGTTAGATGCCTCCTGTCTAGCCTTGGCCAGGTGTCACTTGCGCCCGAGGGAAGGCATAGGGCCGGGTGCCAGGCTGTGGTGGCAGCAGCGGCACGGGGGCGGTGCTGGGATGGGGGCGGGGGGCACGTGACTGAGTGCCAGGCTGTGGTGGCAGGGGTGGTGCTGGGATGGGGGCGGGGGAGGGGCGCGTGGGCTGTATGCAGGTTTCTAAGGAAGTGTTCTCAAGCTGCCTTGGGTGCCGAGACCCGGGAGGTGCTGCTGCCCCACGTGCTGCCACCCTGGTGCTCCCTTCCAACGTCCCCTCTCTCCAGTCCACAGGTGCCCAGGTGCAGGTGGCCGGGGACATGCTGCCCAACTCCACGGAGCGGGCGGTGACCATCTCGGGGACCCCAGATGCCATCATCCAGTGTGTCAAGCAGATCTGTGTGGTCATGCTGGAGGTACCGTCTGCATGCCAGGACCAGCCCACGTCAGTGCTGTGTTTGGCCTCCTGGCACTATAGGCAAAGGCTTGGAAGCCCCAGTTGCCCCGAGGACTCACACAGTTGGGACTGTGGAGGGCTCCTGACCTGGGCTTCCAAGGCAGCCTGAACGAGAGCTGTGTCGGTGTGGGTGCCATAGGGGTGCTGGGGCTGCCAGCTCAGGGTCCAGTGTCTTCATGGGGCTTCTAGGGGAGAGCAGATGGAGAGGAGGGAGCCTGTCCTCTCATCTTCAGAGTTGGATAAGAAGTTGTCATCCCACTGAGGGGTCTTCTGCGCTGCGTTGGAGCTGCAGAAATGGTGCTCATTACGCTGGAGCCAGGCCTTGGCCGGCAGCTGGGGGTGGGAGGGAGGCAAAGGCAGTAGGCTGCTCTGCTCACGCAGTTCTGCAGGAGGCATCGTTTTAAACCACCGTGGAGGAACAGAGGGCAGAACTCGGGAAAACATACGAAACCCATGCAGAAGTAGAGATGGGTGAACAAAAGCATTAAAACGGAAAAGCAGAGAAGGAGCGGCTCAGAGCAGACGCCTCTCGTGAAATTTTGGGGGGAGGAAAAAAATCTCGGAAATATACTCAAAATTCATGAAGCTATCAACAGTTGCCAGTCTTTCCTGAAGCAAAAATGAAGAAGCATCACCCCAAATGGAAGGTTCTAGCAGCTCTGCAGGGTCAGCCTCCAGCCCCTCCTGCAGCCCAGGCTCACTCCTCTCTCATACTTGGCTTGGGCTTCAAACCCCGTGTTTGCCTCTTTAAAAAATGTTTGTATAGTTGTTTCCCTGAAGTTTGATATTTTGTGAAGTCAAAAATATTTTTCAAAATATTCTTGTTCTGAAATAGTCTCCACTCCCTGGTTAGGGTGACAGTGCCATGCTGGTCGGAACTCTCTGTTCAACCCTCCAGTCTCGGGCCCTGGGGGCCCTGCCGGCCGAGGCTTAGCAGCAGCCAGTGACACGAACAGTTCTAGGAGGCACATCTCTAATGGAGGGCTGAGGTCCAGCTCCTCAGCAACACGTGGGTCTCGTCAGTGCCACCCAGTGCCTCTGCAGCTGCGTCCCGGTGCAGTGCCAGCTGCAGCTCCACAGATGCAGGTGCACCCGCTGTCCCAAGGCTGCCCACGCCCCCAGGGCTGTCATCCCAACCACCTTGTCTCCTTCCTGGGCAGGGAGGTTTGAGCAAGACAGGGAGCTCATAGCATACGTGGCCAGGGAAGATGGCCGGGCAGCTGCCCTCACTCCTGCTGGCTGTGCAGCATCCCGAGGCCCAGGGGCCATCATCCCAGGGAGGAAGATTTGTCACACCTGGAAAGAGCTGGGTCCGCCCTCAGATGAAGAGTGACTGGAAAAATAAATCAAGGATGCCTTGAAGACCCTCCTGGTTGATTGCAGGACTTCTGGGCTTGGTAGTGGGCGTGCCTCACCTCACACCTGGGAGATGACAGAGGAAAAGGCTGCCCAGGGTGCCATGAGTCTGGGTGGGGCCCGCCGAGAATACAGACATCGCCACAGATGGTGCCCTGCCCACCCAGGGCCCAGCACCCCTGCACCCAGTGCAGGGAGGCTCGTGCGGTCCCAGGGGAGGCCAGCAGGCCCCGTGCCCACACAAGAAGCAGGAATCACAGGTCAGGGTCAGCTGGGAGCTCCTGTGCCGGGGTAGGGGTTGAGGGCCTATAGCACGGGGCACCGGCCCGAGGGGAGTCAGGGAGGGTGGCGGCGGCTCCCGTCCACCTTAGTCAGTTCCTCCCACTCCAGACCCAACCTGAGTCAGCCCAGACCCGCCTAGCATCCCCTTCCCCACAGTACTTGAGGCAACACCCCAGGACCCTGGCCTTGCGGATCCAGGCACCCACTCCCCATCATGGGGTTTTGAGTGTGAGTGGCGCTCCCTGAGTGCCGGGCTGGCCCTGAGTCAGCCAAGGCCCTAGAACTCCCAGCAGGACAGGCTGCCCCCTGCCAGGAACGGCTCATGGGCTCCAGCCCCCACCTCTCCCTGCTGGACCAAACCCAGCTGTGGTGCCCCCTAGACCCAGGACTCCTGCCTCCTTGACCTGGGCCCGGGGGACGGTCACACAGGGGACTGGCCCACGAGAAGCAGGGCAGGCTCAAAATGCCAGCGCTTGAGAATGTTAATCCTCTGTTTCCGACAGAATAACCAAGGGAAATTACGGCCAACCTCATCATAACTAGGGGATTTTCCTTTGGAGTCTGTAAGCACTTTAAACATGCTTTTTCAAATAGTGAAGTGGGATGTTTCCAAGTCTTCTGTGGAGATCTCTGCTGACTGTCACCACAGGCCAAGCCAAGCGCTTTGGACATGGGTCCCGGTGGAGTCCTGCAGGGCTCAGCTTTCTTCAGAGCATTCAAGAGAATTGCTCCAAGGGGCAGCTCCCCGTGAAGCCGTGCAGCCTGGCCTGCAAGGCCCTGCGCATCCCAGGAGGGGCCCCCGCGGAGGGGCCAGCACCAGAGGGGCCGTCTGGGTTGGCGGCCAGCCCTTGTCCAGCAGGGTCTCATGCGCAAGGGACCCACCCCACCTGGCCTCCCACAATGGGACTGACCCTCCACACTGCCACAGAGCCTCCCAGGGATGTTTGGGGCAGGTGGTACTCTCAGGAGGCCGGTATGTGGCAAACTGCAGCCCAGGGCTCTGCAAAAAGGAGCCATCTGGAGGGACGGGCCGTAAGACAGCCACACAGAGGGTGTGGGGGCTGGAGGTCTTCACTCCCCTCCCCCAGCACTGCTGCGAAACTCAGGGAGGTGTGGGGAGGGTGGAGCCGGTGCAGGCGGGTGAGTGGGGTGGGCCGGGACGCGCCTCTCCATTACCAGGCTGCGAAGCTGCTCTAACGCTCTCTCTTCCTCTCCTGTCCCTTTTCCTAGTCCCCACCGAAAGGTGCCACCATTCCCTACCGCCCAAAGCCCGCCTCCACCCCTGTCATTTTTGCAGGTGGTCAGGTAAGAGCCGATCCGCTCGCGGCCTCCACTGCCAACCTCAGCCTTTTACTGCAGCACCCGCCGCTGCCCGTTAGTGCACTCAGGTTTTCTCGCCTTCTCACGTGCACGTCTCCCACCCGTGCTGGAGGCAGAGCTCTTCCACCTACACCCAGCACCAGGCGGGCGCAGGGGGCCTTCAGAGCGGCATCCCCCCACAGAGACGGCCCCAAGGGATCGTGTTCTCCCTCCCTGACCCAGGCAGGAAGATTTGGCTCGGCCTAAATCCAGTTCTTGGGAACTGGGTGTTTTTAGGAAGCTTAGATAGCCAGCATGCAGGCGCCTTCTAGGTGACTTTACCGCTCACGTTGGAAACAGCACGGTGAGAGCCAGGGTCTTGTTTCCCCTGACATCTCAAACTCCCAGGATGTGCTCGTAGCAGGGACACGCGAGATGGGGGAGCTCTGCACCAAGGAAGGACACGTGGCCCGACCAGCGGGTGTCTGTGCCGCTGTGCCCAGACCTCCCTCCGCTGTGAGCAGGGGCCTCGTGGGCACCCCACGCCCAGTCTGCAGAGCTGGCCCTTTTGGTGTCAGCCCTCGAGCTTTGTGTTCTCCCACCAGGGATGGCAGCACTTCTGTAGGAGAGTGGAGGAGGGGAGCCCTGCCCCAGCCGCTCATCTGAGCCCAAATCCTGGCCAGGGCATGGGGAGCACCCGTCCACCCAGGGCCACTCTGTGGCCAACAGACCAAAGGTGTCCAGTGGGGGTTGGCCTGGAAGAGCTCTGCGTCCAGTCGGCTGCCATGTATGTCTTTGTTCAAGGGAGAGTTGAGACAGACGTCCCCACAGGTGACCCTGGCAGGGCAGAACGGGCCTGAGGTTTGACTTTACCATCAAAAAGGAGAGAAGAGGCAAATCTTAGGACTTTTCCTGGTGCTTTTCTTTACGGTGTAAAGGAATCTTATCAGATCTCCCAGTTGTGGCCCACGTTTGAGGGAGAGACGGAGTGTGTCCATCCCTTCCCTCCAAGGGGTCCCGTGTGCTCAGGGCAGGGCATGCCTTTCCCCCACCCTGGCCTCGCCTCCACAGCCTGGCACACACCCCTTCCTGCCTTGCTGTGGTCAGGGAGCACCCACATGCACGTACTATCCTTACAGCAGCCCCAGGACACGGCACACCTCCATTTTATAACCAGGAAACTGGGCCTGGCTAGCCAGGGATTTGCCTCGTGTCACAGCCTTATGGGCAATGGGACATGTCCTTACCTCGCTGACTTAGGGGGCTCAGGTCACAGGGCCACACGGAGTCACACAGCGGGAGAAGTCCCTGTGCAAAACTCCATTTCACTGCTTTCCCCAAATTCATGGTTAGGTAACCGGGTTAGTAACCTGTGGACTCCACCTTGATGTTTAAACAAATCCATGATGATATCATGTGGTAAAAGGTAGGATTTTTTTCAAAAGGAAGGTGTATTTATACAAACACATGTGGAGTCACTTAAAGCTACTGGGGGTGGAGTCACAGCTCCAGGAGAGGGGGGGTGCAGCTGAGCCCTGCTCAGCCACTGGCCAGGCACCCCTCACTCCTGTAAAGAGGGCAGTAGCCCACCCTCCCGACTGCAGCAGGTGAAGGGCCCTGTGCAGTGGGTGCTGTCCCAAGGCTGATACTAAAATGTCAGCCCTTTGAGAGCTGGGCCCTGGGGCCCTAGTGACAGTCTGGTCTGGCCAGTGGTCAGCCTTGGTGGTGGAGGACAGAGTCGCAGGGAGTTACCCGCCCTGAGGTAACCCAGGGGAGCTGCCGAAATGCAAACCCAGACATGTGGGCACGAATAAGACCTGAGCCTGTAAGGCCACTGGCGTCTCCTTGACAACTCAGACCCACAGGGCCTAGATTAGGACACACAACCCAATACGGACCTGAGAGCTCACCTGGAGGCCCATCCACTTCATTTCTGTCCAGTTGGAGAAATCAGGGACCTGGAAGATGCCCCACCACTGTGAGTGCTCTGGGGGTGCCCACACAGCTCCCCTGTGGCCTGTGCACCCAGCAGCAGCTCCTGTCAGCCACCACCGCATTTGTAGCACAACATGGTCATGAGTTCAATCAGCAGAGCCTGCTAAGGGATGAGCAGATAGAAAACATAACAACAGTAAGAAGATCAGTCAGAAAACTCGTGTGACCCAGGATGCAGGATGCTTGAGCTCTTGCTGTTCAGCTCAGACAGTCGGGGCTGACCTGGGACCCTGTGCCCTGAGGGGGCAGCTCCCAGCATGAGTTCCATGGCCCCTCACCTTCAGTGACACGTGGGAACGTGCCCCTGGCAACACGGGCCCCTCACCTTCGGTGACACGTGGGAATGTGCCCCTGGCAGCACGGGCCCCTCACCTTCAGTGACACATGGGAACATGCTCCTGGCAACACGGGCCCCTCACCTTCAGTGACACATGGGAACATGCTCCTGGTAACACGGGCCTCTCACCTTCAGTGACACATGGGAACATGCTCCTGGCAGCACGGGCCCCTCACCTTCAGTGACACATGGGAACATGCTCCTGGCAGCACGGGCCCCTCACCTTCAGTGACACATGGGAACATGCTCCTGGCAGCACAGGCCCCTCACCTTCAGTGACACATGGGAACATGCTCCTGGTAACACGGGCCCCTCACCTTCAGTGACACATGGGAACATGCTCCTGGCAACACGGGCCCCTCACCTTCAGTGACACATGGGAACATGCTCCTGGCAACACGGGCCTCTCACCTTCAGTGACACATGGGAACATGCTCCTGGCAGCACGGGCCCCTCACCTTCAGTGACACATGGGAACATGCTCCTGGCAGCACGGGCCCCTCACCTTCGGTGACACGTGGGAACATGCTCCTGGCAGCACAGGCCCCTCACCTTCGGTGACACGTGGGAACATGCTCCTGGCAGCACGGGCCCCTCACCTTCGGTGACACATGGGAACATGCTCCTGGCAGCACGGGCCCCTCACCTTCGGTGACACGTGGGAACATGCTCCTGGCAGCACGGGCCCCTCACCTTCGGTGACACGTGGGAACATGCTCCTGGCAGCACCTTTACAAAACCCTCGCAGTTGGTCCTCAAGACACTGTCCAGGACAGTGAGGCTCTTGGTTCCTGCTCTACCTGATAAGATTCTTTTACTTCCTCAGCCAATGCAGCACTGTGGCCTCACAGCCCTGGGGCTTGTTTCAGAGCCGGGCTGCAGGCCGGGTCCCTGTCTGGAGGTCGATTGGCCTTTAACTCACAGGATTGGGTTGTTTATGATGAAAACTCTTGGCAGATTCAAAACCCATGGGAGGGTTTGGGCTGCACAGAGGTGACATGCATCCTTCCCTGAGGCGTCCCTCTCAGGTGCACGGGGACCCAACGTGTGGCCACCGCAGACACTGACACCATGGGTCCTCATGGGAAGTGGCGTGGGGCCCGCACAGTCAGGGGCGTCCCTCTCAGGTGCACCGGGGCCCCACATGTGGTCACCACAGACACCGACACCACAGGTCCTCAGGCGAAGTGGCGTGGGGCCCACACAGCCAGGAGCTGGGAGCCGCTCCTTCCACCCCCAGGCCGCCACCGGGCCTGGTGCAGCCCCGTCCACGTCCCGAGTCCTGACAGCTGTTCGTGGTCTTCACTCTCCCTTGATTCTGTGTGGTCCATTTGTTGTCTGGCCATGAGTTTCTGAATCACCTGAAAGCGTCTCTACTGATGGGACCTGTGGGGCAAGTGGGGCCTCGCTCACCTGCCCGGATTTCAGAGTCAGGGTGGGCGGGAAGAGGCTGCAGGTCGGAGTCACTGTTTTGAAGGCAGGGGAAATACTGAACCCAAAGTGAGGCCTCAGGAGCCCCACACGACGGCTTTGGAGGGGCGCATTGCCGCCCCCACGTCAGGAGGGCCACCCCCTCCCCGCCGCCCCCATGTCAGGAGGGCCGCCCCCTCCCTGTCTTCAGGGCGGTCATGAAAGGCAGCAAGCCCTGACTGACGTAGACCGCTTCCTACGTAGACTGGCTTTTGGTGAATTGCTTTTGGTCACCTTTTAGAGCTTTCTTTTGTTGTTTGAATTTCTTGGGGTTAATATTTCCCAAAAGTGTTTACTCAGTTGGCTGATTACATTTTCAAAACCTTAGTAACTAGTGGACCTCTTACTGGGGGCCAGACACATAACTCTTTGATTCTTTTGCTTTAAGAAACTTGGTGTCGGAAGCATCAAAGCTGAACTGTTTCCCTCCCATCCCCTGAACTGGCCAGCTCAGCTCTGCCCGCCCAGAGCAAGTGGGCACGGTTCCCCTGGTTTCCCTCCCGCTCGCTGACCTGGCCAGCTCAGCTCTGCCCACCCAGAGCAAGTGGGCACGGTTCCCCTGGTTTCCCTCCCGCTCACTGACCTGGCCAGCTCAGCTCTGCCTGCCTAGAGGAAGTGGGTTCGGCTCCCCTGGGGCTCCTGGTGCCCTGAGAGGGTTGGCCTTTTGTCCTAGGATGGAGACAGGTGGAGAGGCATATGAGGGGAAGCTTCTACCGGAGTGTCCTTGTCATGCTGGAGGGTGGCGGCGGGTGCTGAGCCGCGGTGCAGCCAGGTCGCGGTCTGACAGGGTCTCTCTCTCTACTTCTCTCTAGGCCTACACAATCCAGGGACAGTATGCCATCCCTCACCCGGATGTGAGTCTTCACTTTGTCTTCCTCTCACCTTTCTCTTCTTATGGTTGTTTACCTACCTGCATGCTGCTGTTAATTGCTACTAACATTAATATTACACAATAATATTAATCAACTTCTCAGCGTTCCTGACCTGTCTCGTATCCATATGACCTCAAATAACCTTTTAACCTCTTAGCACTAATTCTGCTTGTGTTGAGGACTTGGCCTGATGTCAAATTGTCTCGATTCTGCCGCAGTCCTGGGTTTTCCTCCCTCCCACCGGGCCTGGGAGGGAACTGAGACGGGCTCTGTCCCCGTGCAGGGCGGCGAGGATGCGCTCACCGCCACAGGCAGGTGTCAATGGCACTTTCTGTGCCTCTAAGAAGTTGGGCGACATTATCAAACAGGCCACAAAGATACCTTGGCAAGGACATTTGAGGGCCTGGTTAACTCTCCCCTTTCAGAGTCCACATGGAAATGTAGGGTCCATCTACACACAGAGATCCGGGCTGTGGAAAGCCAGTGGAACAGGCCTTTGTCTTCATTCCAGAGTCAGTGGGATGCCAGGCGGGCATCAGCGTCCTTGGCCCGGGCCATGCAGAGCTGGGTACCATGCGGCTCCGTGACTGGTGGCTCCAACACCTCTCTCCTGCTCCTGCTGGGTCTAGGTGTAATTCCAGTGATGGAGGAAGAAGACACCCTCAGATAAACTGTTGGAGGGGAACCCTGGGCTGCTCTGGGCTGTGCGGCTCTGAGCCCTTAGGGGCCAAGAGATAAAAGGTGCAAACTGTGAGGAAAGGGCCTCTCTGGAGGCGGCTTTAGGGCCCCCAGGGAGTGAGGGCTGCACTGGTAGGCGCTGGGGAGAGGAGAGACGGCCCCACTGGAAGTGCTTCGTGTGTCAGCAGATGGGGCAGACCTGGAGTTGGTTCTGAGGAGGTTTCTCTTCTCTAAACCGTTTTGAATGGTTGCCCAGCTCAGCAGCTGCTCCTCGTAACACATTTCTGGGCCGTTCGCTGTTCCCTGTGAACTGCGAGAGGCACCTCTGAGCTGGATGGGAGGCGGCCACCAGGTGAGCGGGCTGCTCAGGAGCCTTCAAACCCTGATGCTTTTGAGTTGGGGGCAGGGACGTCCATCTGAGTGAGATGAGAAAGCAGGTCAGGAGTGTTTTTAAGAGTTAACGATCATTAAATAAGTCTGCTATAGAGATGCAATTTACTATCATTGCAGGAAAATTTATATTGAATGGAGAATAGATAACAGTAGTTATTCCATTAAAGGCAACACATGAATCAAATGGTAGAGAAACGCTGATCAAGAAAAGCCTTTCGCCACCTGCCCCAGAGGCCATTGTTAGTGGTTCCTGGCTTCAGACTTTTGGTGATGCTGCTGTAGCTACATCAAGGACGTCTCATCCTGGGGTCAGCTGTAGACACCAGTGCCTGTCCCCACCAGGAAGCCGGGCTGTGGCCACCACACGCCGGAAGGCACTGTTGGGGCCGCCCAGCAGCAGTGTTGGGCAGAAGCAGAGGTGTGTGTGCGTGTGTGTGGCAGGGGCGCGGGGGCAGGTGTGATGCCTCCTAACGGAAAGCCTGTATGAAGGAAAATGAAGATGGAAGCCAGGGGAGTCAGAGCTGAATTTCTGGGATGGCCCAGTTCCATTTCAGACTCAGGACAGGTGGTCATGCACATCTAGAGATACACGTGTGCAGAGGCAGGTTCCAGACGGGGCGGGGGGCTGCTTGACTTTGCAAAGCTCTGGAACCCAAAGGAAAGGCAATGTGTGGCACCCATGGTAAAGGGAAGGTTAGTCGATGGGGTCAGGGTTTGTCTTTACCCCAGACAGTAGCCCTGAAGTTGGATGATCAGACCTGCAGGGACCCTCTGGTGACACCTTAAGGGTTTCCTGTGGCCACAGAGCCAAACGTTCTCACCGCGGCCTTTGGCTGAGCACCCGTCTGAGCCAGAATGCTTATGGTCTGAAATTCTCAGAGGCTGTGGCTGTGTGCACACGGTGGGACCGCAGGACCCTGATGTGTGGTTATTGGCGTTTACATCGATCGGTGACTTTGCTCTTTCTCATGTGACTGTCTCAGTGTCTCTTATAAATGGGTAGTTGTGCAGATTGTTTCAAATTAGTTTAAACTAATGTATAACTAACTGTTAAGTGAACTGCCTCAGTGCATATGGTAATGATTTGAGATACCTGGTGCTATGGTTTAAATGTGTCTGTTCTTCCACAATTTCTATGTTGGAACCTAATCACCAAGATGATGGTATTAGAGGGTGGGGGGTCCTAGGGCTGGGGAGTGATTGGGTCATGAGAGCTCCACCCTCGTGAACAGCATTGGTCCCTATAACAGAGGCTTCAGATAACAGAGGCTTCAGAGAGTGGCCTCCCCTCCATCCTTCCTGCCATGTGAGGACAAGAGCGTTCAGGCACCATATTGAAAGCAGAGACTGGGCCCTTCCCATACACCCAACCAGCCAGCACTTTGATCTCCAGTTTCCAGCCCCCGTAACTGTGAGACACATTTATGCTGTTTCTGAATTGCCCAGTCTAAGGCATTTTGTCATAGCAGCAGGAGTGGACTAAAGCACTTGGTTCTCTCCTGTGAAATAGCTCTCTGTGGAAGACATTCTGTTTCTACATCTGTGTCGTGAGATTTGCAGAGCATTAATAGAAGACTGGAAGCTTCCATAGTGCTTTTGTTGCAGGCACGTAAAATTGAAGACTTGGACAATCACTTAATAGTTCATTAAACACAAAAATAAAATGATTATTTAGTGACATATGTAACAGTCAGGAAGCAATTTTTATCTGAGCTTGGTATTTAGTAGAAATCTTTAAAGCTTCAATTTCTTACATTATCAATATAATTATAGAATATATTGTTTTAATTTATAATATAATTGAATACAAAGTTTATTTATACCACAGTGGCGGCTTATGGACAGATACTAGAGTCATTTTTTAGCAATGTGATATTTGACCTGGACGTATGGGCCCGTGAATAAGAAACATCGAGCGTAAGATAATACATTCCTTAGATTTGAGTCTTTCTTTGTGTAAAACTAAAATATGCATGTGTTTTCTGTGCCCAATTTAAAAAGTGTTTTTAGCTTGTTTTTATTTAAGAATCATTGGGGCTAGGCATGGTGGCTTAGGCTGGGTGTGGTAGCTCAAGCCCGTAATCCCAGCCCTTTGGGAGGCTGAGGCAGGTGGATCACTTGAGCTCAGGAGTTTGAGACAAGCCTGGCCAACATGGCAAGACCCCATCTCTAACAAAACTACAAAAAAATTTAGCCGGATGTGGTGGCACACGCTTGTAGTCCCAACTACTCGGGAGACTGAGGCGAGAGGATTGCGTGAGCCCGGGAGGTGGAGGTTGCAGTGAGCCAAGATCATCCCACTGCACTCCAGCCTGGGCCAGAGAGTGAGACCCCATTTCAAAAAAAAAAAAAAAAGGAGTAATTGGCACTGATCTGCCTTTGCCCACTTTTCTCCAGCTCCTCGCATGCCACGTACACCGTTTTACCCACGTACTCCTCGAGGCTTATTGTGCTCTGGATGTGCAGGTTTTGAAGAGGCTCAAAGCCACGCTACAGGGGGAAGGACTTTGGAGGACTGCAGTCAGGCTCTCCAGTGTGGCCACTCGTCAGCCCTGGAGGATATCCATATGACTCTGTGTGTCCTGCCTGGGTCAGGCCAAGTGCAGTTTCAGAAACGAGAAAGAGAAACAGCACCTGAGACCTGGGACCTGAGAGCAGAGCCCAGAGCGCCCACGCCTGGACAGACCACTTGACTCTCACCCAGCACATCTGCACCTTTAATTACAGCAGGGAAGTTACACCAGGAAGGAACTGTTTTTTCTGGAAGAAATGAGTGAACTTCAAAAATACCCTCGTAGGCCAAGTACAGTAGCTGTCTCCTGTGATCCCAGCACTTTGAGAGGCCAAGATGGGAGGATTGCTTGAGCCCAGGAGTTCGAGACCAGCTTGGACAAAAGAGCAAGACCCCATCTCTACAAAAAAAATACAAAAATTAGCTGGTTGTGGTGGCACGCACCTGTAGGCCCAGCTACTCAGGAGGCTGAAGTGGGGCGGTTACCTGAGCCCCGGAGGTCGAGACTGTAGTGAGCAGAGATTGCTCCACCGCACTCCAGCCTGGGTGACAGAGCAAGACTCTATCTCAAAAAAGAAAAAATACCCTCATATATACGAATCTTTATTTCTAGTCTTCCAGGTCTCCTAACCACTCCCTTACTTAACGTCCCCATCATTTAAAGGGGATGTTGAAAACAAGCAAAAATAAAAACATGTTAGAGTTGACGAAGAATTTGCTATGTAGGCTATTTTAGATGAGCCTTGCACCAACCCTGTGAAGCAGATCTCGGGCCCGTGGGGCCAGTTCCACACACAAGCAAGTGGAAGCTCTGAGAGGTGCCTTGGCCAGAGCTAAGGAGCCAGGGAATGGGGGGGCTTGGCACAGCCGCCCAGGCAGCTGAAATGAGCAGCAGATGTGCAGCAATGCTGGGAATCAAGTGGACACCAGTATCTGCTAAGAAGCTGGTTCTTCAGTGAAAGAGTCGTGGGAAAATTGTAGAAACATGTCGTCGTTAAGAGGAACCCAGGGATAGGAGGCATGGCCAGATCTGTTGCTGGGTGCAGCCCTTCATCCCAGCTGTGCAATCCCCGGGACTCTGTTGGTGCCATGCATTTCCGCTGGACACATGAAGAGCGCACGTGGACTCTCGTGACAATCTCGTGTACCTGCAGAGATTTGGACAGATTGTTGCAGAGTGCTTTCTCCTCCCACTTGTTCTGTGTCTCCCTCTAGAACCCTGTAGGGAGGTGGGTGAGGGGCCCCCTCACTGTAGAGAGAGAGTAGTCAGTGCCGCGTGCCCTGGGCACCTGCTGAGAGGTCCAGCCTCTCTCGCTCTGAAGCCTGACACCTTCCAAGACCCTGCGGCTGCAAGTGTTGCAGAGACTTGCCCATGGCCCCACCTGCTGTCAGAGCTGTG